CCCCAGGGCACCCAGGGGTGCCCGGCTACAGATGCTTCCCCAGCCAGTGCCCCAGCCCAGCCCGCTCCTTCAGGGCACTGTGGCTACGGGGCAGAGGGAAGGCTGGTCCCCGGGCCTCCACCTTGAAGGCTCACAGGACCCGTCCAACCTCAAACAGAATGAGGGACCTCACGGACGGCCAGCGATTAAAAGAATCATCAGCATCATCATCATCATCTTGCCCACGAAAGCATTCAAACCACCACCTCCACACCCCCGTCCTTGCCATGTCACAGAATGGCGTTTGATAAGGTGACCAGACGTCCCGCTTTGGGCGGGACAGTCCCGATTTTCAATTAAAAATCGGGACTGTCCCGCCCAAAGCGGGACGTCTGGTCACCTTTGCGTTTAACTCTCCCCAAGACTAAACCATCATCCCAAGGAGAGGCCCCGGCCACCTGAGCACTTGGTGTTCCCGCATGAAATGGTGTGATTTCATTTTCTCTCTCTTTTTTTTAGTTAATCCTCACGCGAGGATATTTTCCCATTGATTTTCAGGGAGAGTGGAGGAGAGAGGGAAAGACAGAGAGACACATCCACTGGTTGCCTCCTGTAGGAGCCCCGGGGAAGGAACCTGCCATCGATTTATGTGCCCCTTATCGAAATTGAACCCTGGACCCTTTGGTCCACAGGCCGATGCTCTATCTGCTGAGCCAAACTGGCTAGGGCTCTTCTTTCTTTCTTTCTTTCTTTCTTTCTTTCTTTCTTTCTTTCTTTCTTTCTTTCTTTCTTTCTTTCTTTCTTTCTTTCTTTCTCTCTCTCTCTCTCTCTCTCTCTCTCTCTCTCTCTCTCTCTCTTTCTTTCTTTCTTTCTTTCTTTCTTTCTTTCTTTCTTTCTTTCTTAAAAAGAGAGAGAAAAGCTATAAGATGGGTTTCCTAACCCCAGCCTATTGTGCATGTGCCAAGGACGTGTGTGTGTGTGTGTGTGTGTGTGTGTAGGGTCCCGGTGGCTGTGGGGTTGCGCGTGGCCTGCCCTGCGGTTCAGCTGTATTTTCAAGCGTTTCTAAATGAATTTGCATTCACTCTGGAATCAATAATTTAAAAATACAAGCACAGAGGCACACAATGAGAGCCAGAAAGGCTTTTAAAACAAAAGCTGAACAGCAGTTATTTATATCCAGATGGTGGGACTAAGGGTGGTTTTTAAACTTTTGTGGTTTTTTTTTTATTTGTATAATTAAAGAGTTGTTATTTTTAAAAGCACCTCTCATTGCTCCCCAGATGGTCCCACTCCAGCCACCTCCAACGTGCCTAGTAAGAAGGCCAAATCTACTGCCCTTAAAAAAAAAAAAGAAAAAATCCTCACCTGAGGAAAGGTTTTCATTGGTATGTAGAGAGAGAGGAAGGGAGAGGGAGAGACAGAGAGAAACATCAATGTCAGAAGGAAACATCCATCGGTTGTCTCCCACATGCACCCCAACTGGGATTCGAACCTGGGCAACCCAGGTACGTGCCCTGACCGGGAGGGAGTCAAACCTGCGAGTGTGCACAGGATGACACTCTAACCACTGGGCAGCATGGGCCACGGCCAGCACCCGCTCTGTGGACGGAAACCCTCGGCCCTCGGGGAGCGGGCAGTGTCAGGAGTCGGTGGTCTCCAGAGTGGGGGGCAGGAGCCCCAGGATGAGGAATAAAAGTGTTGGGATTTGGACCTGTGAAGGGAACCCGATTTGGTGTGCCTGTTCTTTTTCTTTAAAAAAAAAAAAATTTTTTTTTATTGATTTCAGAGAGGAAGGGAGATGGAGAGAAAGAGAAACATCAATGATGAGAGGGAATCATTGACTGGCTGCCTCCTGCATGCCCCGCACTGGGGATCGATCTCGCAACCCGGGCATGTGCCCTTGAGCAGGAATCAAACTGTGACCCCCTGGTTCATAGGTCGATGCTCAACCACTGAGCCACACCGGCCCGGCTGTGTGCGCCTTTTCGTGGCCACGGTGCAGGAGACCGAGCGAGACTTACCCACGAACTCATGCATGTCCGCGGGGCCACCCGTGTACTCTGACAGGGATGTGGATCCAGAGGTTTGGAGGCCGGGTGACAGACACATGAGCAAGCAAGTCCCACCAGGGGGGCCAGCTCAGGCTCAGAACCCCGGGCCATCCTCTCCCTCTGCCTCCCTCCCACCTCCCCTCTGCAGGGAAACCCTGCCATTTCCACCTTCAGACAGACCCAGAACCAGCCCCCCCTCCCCCTCCCCCCAGCCTGCCTGAGCCTCCGCTGCTCTCCTGAGCTCTGCACCAGCTGCCCGCCCGCTGTCCCGGGTCCCAGGTCCGTGCCAGCGCCTCACACCCCCCATCGAGCCGGCCCAGCCTCTGGCACAGCCACCCTGGCTCCCTCTGTGACCCCAACTCCTCACGGTGACCGCAAGGCCCAGCAGGCTCTGCCTCACTGCCCCCTCTCAGCACCGCCCCCCACCCCCCACCCCAAGCCCTGCTGGGAACGCGCTTCCCCAGATGCCCCACCTCCTCCAAGCCTGTGCCACCTGCACCAGCCTTCCTGCCTCCCTGCCTCCCCAGCGACGCCCCTCCCCCTCCTCCCCACACCCTTGGGCATGCGGGCCCCTGCCTGACGGAGGGCGTCTGTGTCTCCACCTGCCCTAGGCACAGGGAGGCAGGGCCTGGCTGTCGGCCTCGGCCTCGGGCACCCATGTGTCCCGGATGCCCGGGTCACGGCCTCCCACACAGAAGAAAGCCCCAGGGCTTTTAGCAGGTGCGTTAGGGCAGGCAGGGGGGCTGGGGGAGGAGCTGCGACCAGAGAGGAAGGCGGGACGGGGAGGGGTTGTCCTGGGGCACCCGGGGCAGTCCTCAGCGCTGGGGAGTGACCGGGAGGCTGGAGGGGTGGCACCCTGTGGGGACCTGGGGGCGGTCCTCAGAGGGGTATGTCCCAAGCGCCACGGGGGCCCCCCCCCCCCCAAGAGAAGAGGGGGTGCTGCATGGCCTTGGGCTGCGGCCGGAGGGGACTCAGGCCACTCGGCCGCTGTCCCTGTTCATGTATTGCCCGCCCCCTAGGCCAGACAGACGGATGGACAGAGGGAAGGCAGCGGGCGGGATGGGCTGTGTGGATCTGGGCCTCACCCGGGGTGGTGGCACCTGGGACACCAGGTGAGGAAATGGGGGGCAGGTGGAGGGCAGGGCAGGTGTGTGGTGACAATGGAGTCAGTGTCCCCCTTCAGGGCTGCAGCTGGGGGGACGGAGGGGGACTCGGAGGTGATGGGGAGGCGGCCCGGAGCACAGGACACGGTGGGTCCTGCAGGAGCCAGGGGGGAGCAGGGGCGGGGGGAGAGGGCATGTGGCCAGGCCCCGATGTTCCTGGACCCGACTCTGGCTTCCTGGTCCCGGCCCATGGGCCACCCCTGGGCGCTGCCCCCTCACAGCCCTGGTCCCAGGCCCCCAGGACAGTGGGGGAGGGTGCACGGGGAGGGGAGTGGCAGCTCTGGGCCTCTCCCCCTGGGGTTGGGGCTGGGGCTGGGGCGGGAGAGGCTGGGGGACGGGGACTGACACCCCAGTTTTCCTGCTGAGCAGCACCTGGGAAAACAGGAGTAAAGATCGGTGCTCAGAGCTGACCCGGCGCCTATTGTTGCCTCCAAACGAAATGCTCGCTGGCTGTGAGCTCACGGAGGATGGCTCTGTGCGGACAGTCAAACGCAAACGGAACTCGGTTTGAAACCCTAAACTAGACCCGTGAGCCCACGCCTTCGGAACGGGGGTCTCAGCCAGCGGCCAGGCCCCCGGAATGTGTGGCAACATCTGGAGACTTTCTGGGAGCTGGACCGAGTGGCCAGGGGTGCCCAGTTCACCCCCACGGAGCCCGGGGCGCCCCCACGGAGCCCGGGACGTCCCCACGGTGCCCAGACCCCCCATGGCACCTGGGGCGCCCCCACGGAGCTCGGGACGCCCCCACGGAGTCCGGGTCACCCCCACGGAGCCCAGGACACCCCCACGGAGCCCAGGACACCCCCACGGAGCCCAGGACGCCCCCACGGAGCCCAGGACACCCCCACGGAGCCCAGGACACCCCCACGGAGCCCAGGACGCCCCCACGGAGCCCAGGACGCCTCCACTGTGCCCAGTTCACCCCCACGGAGCCTGGGACACCCCCACTGAGCCCGGAACGCCTTCACGGAGCCCGGGACACCTCCACACTCCCCAGGACACCTCCACACTCCCCAGGACACCTCCACACTCCCCAGGACGCCCCGACGGTGCCCAGGACGCCCCCACAGAGTCTGGGACGCCCCCACGGAGCCCAGGACGCCCCCAGGGTGCCCGGGACGCCCCCAGGGTGCCCAGGACGCCCCCACAGCCCGGATGACCTGGCCCCAGACACTGAGAGAGCAGAGGAAGGACCCAGCTTCCAATGGGCACCTTTCTCTCCACAGCCTCACTCAGGGCCGCCGGCGTCACAGCCGTGAGTAACCAGGTGGCGGCCGCCCTGCGAGCACCAGCTTCCTGCACCGGCCCGGCCCGGCTCAGCGCTCCCACCTCCTCCCCAGCTCCCGTGCGGGCTCGTGGGGCCAGGACCATCCTACACCCTCACCCCAAACCCACAGGCGGGCTCACCCCCTTCTCCAGGCGCAGAAACGGGCGCAGACCCGCCATCGCGGGCGAAGCCGCTCACAGACCACAGACCGGGCAGCGCGGGCTGCAAGCCAGGGCCAGGCCCGTCCTGCTGTGCGAGGGGCCCGTGGTTCCGCCCCGCCCGACGCCCTGAACCCAGCACCCAGGCACGGAGCCCGGTGCTGAGGGAGCCCCGTGCACGCCCAGGCCAACGGGGCCCAGGCACCGTCTCCCCAGTGCCCGGGGGCCGCCCTGCAGAGCGGGCAGATCGCTCAGAAGGCCCTCACCCGCGCAGGGAGCAGGGACTGGCCACCCCGTACCCAACCCTGTGCCCATCCCTGTGCCCCCTCCCTGTGCCCATCCCTGTGCCCCCTCCCTGTGCCCACCCCGGCGGCCGGCTCACCTGGATGCCGTTCTCCTGCAGGTTCAGGTACCGCGTGTTGACGGGGATGCTGGCCGGCACCTCGGCCAGGTCCCTCCGCGTGCAGATGACCCGGCTGGCCTGGTTGCTGCAGGAGCAGGCCGCAGGGCACGAGGTGGCGGGCGGGGAGCCCCCTCCGGCGGCCGCGGCCAAGGCCACGCCACCCCCGCCGGCCCCCAGGGGCGGGGAGAAGAGCCAGAGGAAGAGCAGGGCCCCGCGGGGCCAGGACATCCTACCGGGCGGCAGCGGGGGGCGCGGGGAGCCGCAGGCGCGCGCCATCCTCACTGGTCATGCTCCGCGCGGGCGCCGGGGGGCTGCGGGGGGGGGGGAGAGAGGAGAGGCTCAGTGAGGGCCCGTCTGCGCCACCCGGCACCCAGCTCACCTCCCTGCCCCCATCCCATCCCCTCCTCTCCCTGTGGGGAAGGTTGTGCCCATTGCACAGAGCTGAAAACTGAGGCCCTTGGCCAGTCAGTGGAGAAGTCGGCCAGATTCAAAACTTAGTTCTCACTCAGCTGGTGTGGGTGGACCCGTGGTTGACCAGGAGGTCACAGTTCAATTCCCAGACAGGGAACCTGCAGGCTCCACCCCCTGGGTGGGGCGTGCAGGAGGCAGCCAGTCAATCAATCTCTCCCTCATCATTTGTTTTTTTTAAATAACGATGCGTTTTATTTATTTATTTATTTTTTTTTTTATTTTTTATTTTTAAATATATTTTATTGATTTTGTACAGAGAAGAAGGGAGAGAGATAGAGAGCCAGAAACATCGATGAGAGAGAGTCATCGATCAGCTGCCTCTTGCATACCCCCTACTGGGGATGTGCCCGCAACCAAGGTACATGCCCTTGACCGGAATCGAACCCGGGACCCTTCAGTCCCCAAGCCGACGCTCTATCCATTGAGCCAAACCGGTCCCGGCTATTTATTTATTTTTAATATATTTTATCGATATTTTACAGAGAGAAAGAGAAAGGGATAGAGAGTTAGAAACATCAATGAGAGAGAAACGTCGATCAGCTGCCTCCTGCACACCCCCTTCAGGGGATGTGCCTGCAACCAAGGTACATGCCCTTGACCGGAATCGAACCTGGGACCTTTCAGACCACAGGCCGATACTCTATCCACTGAGCCAAACCGGTTTCTGCTCTCTCTCATCATTGATGTTTCCCTCTCCCTCTCCCTTCCTCTCTGAAATCCAGAAAAAGATTTTTTTTTTAAAGTAGCCCTTTGCATGGGTTCAAGAAGATGGGTAAACGGGCGGGATGGAGAGAGAGACAGATGAGATCAAGGTGGCAGAGAAAGGGACAGAGCCCACAGACAGGCTCCCAGCACCCCCAGCCCCACCCCGGGTCCCTGGCTGCCGGCTGGAGCCCTGCACGCAGGTCCCAGTGTCCTGTCCTGCCCCCTCCCGGCCTCTCCCTCCTGGAGAGTTTGCAAAGAGGCCCAGCCTCCCCCCTGCCCCCGGGGCCAGGCCCCCGGCTCCACGCTGCTCTCTGCCCCTCGGCTGGTCCGCCCCCTTGGGCCTCCCAGCAGCTGCAGGCACCTGAGTTAGACTCACAGGGAACAGGGAGGGCCAAGGGCACCAGACAAGGAGCGATGATGGGCGAGGCAGGGGCTGGTGGGGAGGGGTGGGTGGGGGGGTGGGGGCTGGTGGGAGTGGGAGGGAGGGTGGCAGGGGCTGGTGGGGAGGGGCGGGTGGGGGAGGCAGGGGCTGGTGGGAAAGGGAAGGGGGTGGCAGGGGCTGGTGGAGTGGGAGGGAGGGGGTGGCAGGGAGGAGGCGGGAGGCGGTGCCGGGGAAGGGACCAGGCTGCCCGGAGGGAGCGGCAGGTGCTGGCGGCCACGGCAGTGCCCACGGGCCTGTGCTGGGCCCGGACCCTGTGCCTGAGTTCTGGGGGGCGGGGCAGAGCGGGGTCAGGCCTTCCCACCCCATTTCCTCGGAGGGAAGGAAAGGGAGACAAGCTAACGGTAACTCAGCAGTGACCAGGCGCCAGAGCTCCGGGAATTCTGAGTAATTCCTTCCTCACAGACGCCCCCCCACCCTGCCCCCCGCCCTCCGCTCCCCCAGCCTCCGGGGCCGTGGGGGGTGCGGCGAGGGGCCGTTTACAGCTGAGGACACAGGTGCCGGGGAGGAAGCGGCTGTCCTGGGCTGGGGCCGTGGGGGAGGCCGGAGGGGCTGTGGCCCGGGTCCCCTCGGCCCCCAGCCCCCAGCGCCCAGCTCCCAGCTCCCAGCCCTCAGTCCCCAGCCCCCAGCGCCCAGTGCACTGGGGGACACACAGGTGCACCCACGCAGGCCCTGCTCCCCCCACGTGCCCCGAGGGCCACCGCGCCCCACACGCCCGGCCGGGCCGGCACGCCTCGCACGCGGCCTCGGCCCAGGACACAGGCCCCACGCACATGGCTCACACCCGCTCTCCTTCTGCAGTTCCCACATCATCTCAGCGCGGACGGGGACGGCTATGGTTTGTCTGTGCTGGGGTGTGCGAGAACGAGGGGGAGACAGAGGGACAGGGACAGACGGAGGGACAGAGACAGACAGAGGGACAGAGGGGCAGAGAGACAGACAGAGGGACAGAGACAGAGGGACAGAGACAGAGAGACAGAGGGACAGAGACAGAGGGACAGAGACAGACAGAGGGACAGAGAGACAGAGACAGAGACACAGAAACAGACAGGGAGTCAGAGAGACAGACAGAGGGACTGAGGGATAGAGAGACGGACAGAGAGACAGAGGGACAGAGAGACAAAGGGACAGAGGGATAGAGACAGACAGATGGACAGAGAGAGAGGGACAGAGACAGAGGGGCAGAGAGAGGGATAGAGGGACAGAGGGATAGAGAGACAAAGGGACAGAGACGGGGGACAGAGAGACAGACAAAGGGACAGAGAGACGGGGGACAGGAGGACAGAGGGACAGAGAGACGGGGGGGACAGAGAGACAGACAAAGGGACAGAGAGACGGGGGACAGGAGGACAGAGGGACAGAGAGGTGTGATTGTGTCTGTGCTCGGCACAATCGTTTTTCTTCCTGGCCTGGCGGGGAGTGGGGAGGGGGCGGCTGTGCGTCCCTCTGGCGGGAGGGGCTGGGGTCCGGCTCCCGCAGCCGGATGGGAGGCCCTGCCTGTCCCTGTCTGAGCCCGGGGCCCGGTTCCACCTCCCGAGACCCGCGCGGACCCAGCCCCCGCCCTCCGAGCCGGCCTGGAGGCTGGGGGCCGGGCCGGACGCCTGGGGTGAGGGAGCCGCAGCCGCAGCAGCAGCAGCCGCCGCCGCCGCCGCCGCCGCCGCGGGGCCCGGCCTGCCTCCCGTCCACCTGCTCGCCTCCCACGTCCCCACCTCGCCCGCCCGCCCGCCTGCATCCCCTCGCCGCTTCTGCCTCTGCAGCCCCCCTCCCGCCCGGCCCCTCGCCCTGCCCCCTCCCACCGCCCGGAGCACAGAGCGGACACTCACCCCGGTGCTGGCTCGGCGTCCGCAGGGCCTCTCCCTGCACCCCAGGCCCCCCCTCCGCATGCCGCCGCCGCGGGGCTCTGCTCCCCGGTTCTCCGGGGTTGCGTTCAGGTCGGGCTGCTGGTGGTGGTGGGGGGGACGCAGGGGCTTCCTGGTCTCCCCGCGCCCCCCCCTTCTCGCCTGTCGCCCTCCCCACCCCAGGGGGCGGCTGTCTAGGCAGCTGTCCCCTCCTCCCTGCGGCCTCCCCTGGCCCTGCACCCACCCCTCCTCCACTCCCTCACCCACAGCCTCTGTCCTGGCCGGCGGGCACCCCGCCCCGCTCCCCCCAGCCCCTCTGCCTCCGGGGGTCCCTCCTCAGGCCGCCGCCCCGGCCCCGCTGCCCCTCTCTGTCCCGCTGCCCCGGGGACCTCCGGGCCCCCCCTCTCCTCCCTCCATCTCGCCCTCGCTCCTCGCTGCCTGTCCCCGTCACCCTCTCATTGTCCCGAAGCCTGTCTCCGTCAGACCCTCCGTCCGTCCGTCCGTCCGTCCGTCCGGGCCCCGGGGCCCGGCTCTGCCTTTCTGGCTCCCGGATTACAATTTCTGGTCACACGGCAGTGCAGAGCGCCGTGCTCCCAGCCGCCTCCCCTCCCTCCGCCTTCCTCTCTTTCTCTGCTTCTGGACGGGGAGGGCGCCTCTGCTCCTCCTCCCCCCGCCCCGTCCCCGCGCCCGGAGGCCCCTCCCCCGCTAATCAAAGGCCCCGTTATCTAATTAACCCGTTGGTTCTGGCAGCGGGAAGGTCGGAGCGCGGGGGGGGGGGGGGGGGGGGGGGGGAGGACGCGGATGGCGGGGCCGCCCGGGAGGGGGTCTGGGCCGTGCCAAGCTGCCTCGTGGCACACACAGCTCCTCACCGCAAAGCAGGCGGACCCCACCCTCCCGGCGGCCACCCAGCCCTCCGCACGCGCCCAGCCTCGGCAGGCAGCCTCCTGCGGGCTCCTTCCAGGACCCACGGCCCCGCACAGCCCTCCACCCAACACCCACATTGCCAGCCAACTGGGCCCCGGACCCGCAGCCAGGCCAGTCCGCTGGTGCCACAGAGAGCCGTGCAGCTCCCCCTGACCTCAGCCACGTCCGATGCCGCCTCCCGATCCATTTCTGCAAAACGGGCAGGGGCTGCATTTGTCCATTTGACTCACCCAGACATCCACCCTCCATCCATCCTCCATCCTCTATCCTCCATCCATCCATCTATTCACCCATCCTCCATCTATTCACCCATCCTCCATCTATCCTCCATCCTCCATCCATCCATCTATTCATCATCCATCCATCCATCCATCTATTCATCCACCCACCCATCCATCCTCTATTCTCCACCCATCCACCCTCCATCAATCCATCCTTTATCCTCCATCCATCCATCTATTCATCTATCCATCCATCCACCTATTTCATCCATCCATCTATTTGTCCATCCATCCATCCATTTTTCCATCCATCCTCCATTCATCTATCATCCATCCTCCATCCATCCATCTATTCATTTATCCATCCATCCTCCATTCATCTATCCATCCTTCATCCATCCATCTATTCGTCCATCCATCCATCCATCACCCATCTATTCATCTATCCATCCATCCATCCATCCATTTATTCACCCATCCACCCACCCATCCATTTGTCCATCCATCTATCCATTTCTCCATCCATCTATCCATCCATCCTCCATCCATCTATCCATCCTTCATCCATCCATCTATTTGTCCATCCATCATCCACTCTCCATCCTCCATCCATCCATCCATCTATTCGTCCATTCATCCGTCCATCCATCCACCCATCCATCAGTCCCTCTGTCCACC